TCACCCCCCACCCTCAGTTGACGGGCCACCTGAAGCTCCTGGGGGCCACCACCCCCAAGCCGCTCGTGCTGCTGCTCGCAAACTGCGACGCGGCGCTCGCAGTGGAGTGCGGCGCCGGCCTAATGGAGCTGTCGCGCAAGCTGCTCACGCTGCTGCCGCGCGTCACGGTGGTGGTCTCCAGCAGCGCCGAGACGACCGCCTTTGTGGCGGACTGCCTGGAGGCGCTGCAGGTCGCGGGCAGCGAGGTGGAGCCCGACAGCCACAGGCTGCCCGGCGGGGGGAGGCTGCACACGCAGCTGCTGCGGCTGCGGCCGTGGACGGCCGCGGGGTCGTGTGGCCTGCGCGTGTGAGTCGGGCGCTGTTTTTGCTGTTGGTGTGTCTGGCACGCAGGCCGCGCCGGTGCTGATGGTGTTCGGCTGGTGGCAGTTTGTGCATCATGTAGATCACGAATAAACCCTTCGCCCACCCTGCGGAGGCAACATGCGTGTCTTCCTTGCTGCGTTGCGGCCTGCGCGCGCGTGCGCTCGGGCCTCGCAGCGGCTGTGAGCTGAGGGTCGTCATTTACTCATGCAAACCGCTCAACCCAATCCTTTGAGGCGCAAACACGCGCCGTGCTGATACCACTGGTGCTGGGGTGTGTGGTGGCGGGCAGAGGTGCCTGCTTTGCTAGGATCGACACCACCATCGCGGTGGGGGAGGCAGGGGCCTTCGCAGGGGTCCGCTGGTCAGGATGCGTACGCTATGCTGGTTGTGGCGGCCGCAGCTGCGAGCACGCGCGGCGCGTGAAGCGGGGGACATTCTGCCCTGGAGACAGTCTGCCCTGGCGAGTCGGCAAGGGCAACAGAGGTGGTGGCTAGCAAAGGCTAATCAAGTCGGGGTCAAGTCAGGAAGAGGAAGTGCGGCCGTGTGATTTGGCAGCCGCCACGGCGCCAGTGAAACAGCGGGGTCCTCTCGTGTCTGCGCGGAAAAGCAAAGCAGCCTCCCTGGCTAGCTGCGCACCACGAAGCAGCAGTGGCACAGAGAGGGGCAGCACTGGGGCGACAAATGACAGAACCAAAGAAAGGTCAGCAAGTTATTGCGTGTGCGCCCATCAAACCGCCGCGCTAACAACGTCAAAGTGCTGGCAAATCTGTCTGGGAAGGTGCTGTGGTGATACAGGACCCACGGCTGCCAATGACTGTCTGTGCAGCACAGAGCCGCTGGGGAGCAGGCTGCGCCCAGGCGTGACAGGGGCAGGTGGGGCCGCGCAGGCTCAGGCGCCCGTAGACATCCACTGGACAGACCGCACCGCCGGGCGTCTCACCCGGCCAGTGCTGCTGGCAGGCGCGGTGCAGCGGCGCACAGCCTGCGACGCTTGCGGGGCCCCCGCCAGGGGCTCACCAGGGGCCCGCAGGCGCAAGTGCGCACCGACCATGAGGCTCAAGGCGTGCGCTGCATTGTGTGAGCGATGCGAGCAGCTTCTGCGGATAGATGGCGTGGCGCGACTGGCTCAAGACGATTATTGGTGTCAACGGTACGCGAAACAGCGTGGCAGGACGCAATCTCAAGCGCGCGTTTGCGTACAGACGCGAATCGGGCGGCGCAAACGAGAGACGCAAACTTCCAGAGTTCAGAACCTTGAGTGAATAAATGTCACCACGGCCGCGGGGCGGCCGTGGGAGTACGGGCAGGCTGCAAGGGGCTGTTTTCTGCCGTGCTGCAGGCACGGCGCATCAGCAGCGGCAGTGCAGTGTTGTGAAACAGCGAGCGCCTGACAAACATGCAAGGCGACGGGCTCACAAGGTTGCGGTGGCGCCCTGGCGGCCGGGCCCAAGCCTGCAGCTACTGCATGCCCGCGCCGCCCTGCAGGCACTGCAAGCTGCTGCCACCGCGCTTGAGGCAGCCGCCAGAGAAGGACCCGTCACGGTGGTGGCGAGCCGTGGCGGTGCCGGCCGCACCAGGCAGGCGCTCAGCCGCCCCCTTGGGCAGCGGCGGCTGCTGCAGGCTGAGCGGCAGCAGCGGCACGGCGGCGGCCCCACTGCCAAAGCTCACGCTGCGCTTGTGCCTGGTGCTGCCCCAGATGCTGGCCAGGGAGCCGCCACCAGCAGAGTGCCGCGGCGTCACGGGGCAGCTCGCCCCACCGCCAAAGCCGGCGCCGCTGGCCGCACGAGGCGCGGCCGTGGAGGCGCCGACGCTTGTGGCGCACCTGCTACTACTGCCGCCGCTGCCGCTGCTGTTGCTGCTACTGCCGCCGCTGCGGTGCAGCAGGGCGCCGCAGACCAGGGCTGCCAGCGCTAGCGCAGACGCCAGGGGCAGCAGGTGTAAGCTGTGGCGGCTGTGCAGCAGTCTGTCTTCCTGCTCACTGCGCCGCGCGTCCATTGCCTGCATCTGCATCGCCGCGGCGCCATGCGTCCGCTGCTCCCTCAGCTGCCGCTCTTTCAGGCGGTTGGGCTGCTGGGCCGCACCAGCCGGCTGCAGTTGCTGCTGCTTCTGCTGTCGCTGCAGCTGCTGCTGCTGCTGCTGCTGCTGCTGCTGCCGCTGCTGCTGGATGTTATGCTCTTGTCGATGCTGCTGCGACAGCTGTGCTGCCGCACCTGCAGGGCTGACGTCACCACCAGCGCCGCCGCCTCCGCTGTTGCCCCTGCTGCTGCCGCCACCCGCCGGGGCCACGCGCCCACTCACCGGTTCCACACCCATCGCCACCGCCAACTGCGAAGGCCGCTGCTCCTTCATCTGCTCCTGCAGCCGGACCGCCGCACCACCCAATCGCTTCACAAGGGCGCCGCCGCTCGCCGCGAGCGCAGCCGCGCGCGCCGGCCCGACTGCCGGCGACGCCGCCACGGCGGTCTCGCCCGCGCCTGCGCCCGCAGCCGTGCCCGCGTGCTGGCCGTCTCCGTCAAACAGGTGCGCGTAGAGGTGTGTCACAAACTGCCAGAGCTTCCCGGGCTCGTGCAGCCGCCAGCTGCCCTTGAACATGTGGTACACGTAGGCCAGCGGGTCCGCCAGGTTGACCGTGCTGGACGCGCAGCCAAAGCTGCTCTGGGGCAGCAGCCGCAGGTCCCCGACGCGCGCGCCGCCGACGACCGCCTCTGGCGCAACGCCGTGCTCGCGGATGTAGTCGTGCACCGAGCGCGACCAGATGCCGGGGCCGGTGCGCTCCAGGATGGCGTGGTCGCGGTCTTGGTCGCCCCCGCCCGCCGCGCCCGCCGCCTCTGCGTCCACGCGCCGCTGCACGTAGTCGCCCATGCGGCAGACGGCCGGGTGGCCCGGCCGCGCCGCGATCGTCCACTGCACGACCTGCATCACGCCGGTGTAGTCGCGGCGCCGCGCGGCGGCCAGGTCCTCGAACACGTTCTCCACGCCCGTCAGCAGCCCCGCGTCCTGCGCCCAGCCCGACACCGGCCGCCCCGCGACGACGTCGCTGTCGGCGTAGACGCCACCAAAGGTGCACAGCACGAGGTAGCGCCACAGGTCGGTGCGCTCCACCTGGGAGCCCAGGCGTTTGAACAGCGCCACGTGGCGGGGGTGGTAGGCCGCCATGAAGGCCGCGATGTCGGCGTCGTCGTACAGCAGGATGGCGTAGCCGGGGTTGAGCACCGCCCAGGACGCGACCGCCAGCGCCTGGTGCGGCAGCAGCGCGTCCTTATCGCGCACCGTGAAGTGCACCAGCCGCGGCAGCCGCCCGTCGGGGTGCAGCACTGGCGCGAGCTCGGCCTCGCCGGCGAGCAGCGGGGCGATGACGAGGCGCGCGGAGGGCGCGGCAGACGCGAGGACGCGCGAGAGCGTCGCGATGGACACGCGGCGGGTCTGCAGCAGCTCCCGCGGCAGGCCGTAGATTGGGAGCAGCTCCTCGAGGGAGATCTCGCGCTTCAGGCCGCTCTGGACCTTGCAGATCTCGAACGTGTCGCGGCTGGACGCCAGCGAGTAGCCGTCGTAGTGGGGCGCGGGCCACGCGGCCGCGCGTACGCTGCCGACGCGCGCCTTGGCCGCCGCCGCGGCCGCGCGGGCGGCCTCGCGGGGCGGCAGGCTGGTGGGGCGCGGGAGCGGCGCGGTGCCGGCGCCGCCGTCGTCGCCGTCGGTCGCTGCTGCCGTCGCACTCCATGATCTGCTGTCGTCGCTGTCGCCGCCGATGGCGGCGCGGGTCGCTGAGGCGGGGTCGGCCGCGGTCACTGCGCCGAGCCCGGCCGCCAGCACCAGCGCCGCCAGGAGCACGCGCCGCATGCCGTTGTGCACCCAGCCAGCCGTTCGTGCTGTGCCTGCAGGTGCGGCGGTGGGGGGGTGACCGCGGCAGGGGCGTCGGGCCAAGTCAACGGCCGTCACTGCACATCGTGGCGGGAAGCAGGAGGTGGCACAACCGAACCACGTCTGAGCGCCATCGATCGCTTCTATCACGTTGAAAACGCTTGCAGCGCCCGTCCAAATCGCAGTTGAGTCGGGCGTCCTTCACAGCTGGCAACAAGCTGCTCGGGCCTGGTGAGGTGCCACAAGTGGGCCTCCAGCAGCTTTCTAGATCGTTTTATCCTCAACCTTTTCACACCTGCTTCGCTCACTGTCGTCCGAGGCCCTCGCAAGTGTGCGCAATGGGCAATGCTTGTGCGGTCCAGTCCAAGGAGCCTGCTATCACTTGGACCAAGAGATTCTGTTTTGATCATATATCAAAACCTTCGGTTGCGTGCTTCTGCTGTCCACCGTTTGTGAACAAATCGCTGCATCGCCACGCTGTTTTTCTTCTATGCATGTCGTGTCAATAGTCGGGCAGAAGCATTATCGAACGCTCTTGATGAGTGTGCTGTTATGGGTTGAGGGAAGGCTTGCCAAGTCGACAACGGCGGGGTGCGCAATGGGGTGCTGTGATGAGTACCAGTAGGCCAGTGCGGGCGCAGGTGCGCGGGTGGGTGGGAAGCTGGGAACCCTACCACATTGAGTACTCAAGCTCCATCCCAGTACCCTGAATGTGCCACCACATGTTACTAACATATTACAAAGTATGAGGCACCACTCATGCCCACATGCGTGTGTGCCTCTCAAACGGGCCTGGGCTGCCCCACACCCCTGCACTGCCGGAAAAGGTGTTGTAAGCGCATTGATTGAGGCTTTTGACCTGCAATGTATAAATGCACCCAATGTGCAAGCCCAGGTCTCTGAACTGGTTTGCCATGCATCCGGGCTTGCGGTGCAGTGCGTAAGCTGGCTGCAGGTTTATGCCTGCAAGGGCTGCAAGCAGACTCGCAAGCAGCCATGGCCAGGCTCGATACATGGCACAGCTACTATGACGCCCTTCTCGATACGAGTGCGATCAGAGGCACGCACGCCCATGGTGTGGCCAGGCTGCCGTCTAACACAACACTGCCACCCAGCGTTCCCGAACCAAGTCGTCACCTTGCCAGCATCACGTGTGCTGCCTTGGCCGATGCATGCCTGTGTGGTGGGAGCCTGAGTGCCGGCTGAACTGACCTGAGCAGCTGCTACACGGAACTTGCTGCTGCAGCAAAAGGGCCATTATCAACGTCCAGGCTGGTTTATTACCCAGTGACATTGTATTCCGCGCTGTTACTGCATGGCGAGAGCTCGACGCACGCCGCTGCCAGAAGCGCAGTGCGGAGAAAAAATACCCGCCACCCAGCCAAAGATGGGTTGTGTGTAAGAGGCGCGAAATGCAGCCTTTACGTAAACCCAGGCGACATTTCGTTGTTCACCCAACAAATTGTGATGGAATGCCCAGCCAATCCAAGCCAACAGGCGCGCCCCGCCCCTGCATGCGCGCATACGCAAACGCTCTCCAAACGAAAATGGAAACACGACCTTGCCCTTACCAAACACGCAGCAGCTAGGCGCCGGTGAACTTGGCACCTATCCAATGCTGCACACCATGTTTTGATATGGCAAATCCTTGAAAGGGCGTGGGCCGGCATGTGTTTTTATCTGCCACAGCTGTGCCTTGCCAACACGTACAACCCACCACAGGCGGGTGATCCGCAGCCACATGCGTCAGTGACTGTGTCTCGCGCTTCCCTCCTCAACCTCAACGCAACCCAGACAAGAGAGGCCCCTATGCGCCCACAAAAAACCGCTGTCAGCGGCAGCCAAAAACCGCTCAGTCGGTTGAAACTTGCTGCCAAGCGGCGTGTGCAGCAAGGGACATGTTCTGTCGAATGGGGCCAGGCAGTTTGTGGGGGCAGAATAGCATTCGTAATGGGTTGCCGCGCCATGAAAACGCAGGGGACCCCTGCTGATTCGCAGGTGCGTGGGTGGTCCCCTGCTGCGCGCATGTCGCCAAATTCCGCCTGAAAGGGGGCAACCAACGGCTTGCTGGTTGGCGGAGTCGGTGGTGCGCTTTAAGCTACGCGTAATAGCGCGCGCTCGCAGCCGCAACGTCTGGGCGCCTTGTCACCTTGGCTTCACGCGCCCGCCACGCTTTGTTTCTTGCGTGAAGCAGCCCCAAGGGGTGGGGCGTTCAAAATCCAGAATTGCAGTGCGGTCGATTGACTGCAAGCGCCAGCAAGATGGTGCGCTACTGCAAGACGTGGGCGCAGCCAAAAAGGGGGGCTGGGCCAAAATTGCTGCAGCCACTGGCCGAGGACTATCAGGTCAGGCAGATCAAGCACAAGTGACGGGGCAAACCCAGCGCCTGGAAAAAGGCCGGGCGTCACTACGGCGCAGGAGCGGCGCGGCGCAGGGACGACCCAAGCTCGCAAGGTGTCGAAAAAGCGAGCGCAACCTGAGGGAAGCGGGCGCCGCCGCATGCGGCCGCCCGGCCAGGCCCCCTCCGCATATGCGGCAACAGCTACCGGGTGCTTCCAGGAGCTTGGGCTGCGGGCGCTGGGCTCGGGCAGCCTGGCGGCGGCCCGCGCACCCGCCCAACCAAGCAACCCCAGGTAAAATCGCCCGGAAAAAGCCACGGCCGCTGGCGCAGGGCGCAAGGCCCCGCGCCAGACAGCCGGCAAGATGAGCAAAGGCTGGCCTGTGCGGGGCAAAGGATATCCATGGCGCCTGATGGGGTGGCAAATAGCCATGGCGATTTGCGGCAAAAAGCACACGAGCAGCCTTTGAAGGACGAGACTGAATGGCCAGATTCAGAGGCTATGGGCACTAATCAGTGTTGGCAGTGTGGTCGGTTGGTATACATAAGGGCTGGCGCGGGCGCGGCGCGGCAGCGCGGGGCGGCGGTGCTAGCAAAATGCCCGGGCCCCACGCTCCCGCCCCGGCCGCCGCCCGACTGCGGGGGGAGCCCCTCGGAATCCGCTCCCCTCGCGGGGCCGCCGCGGCGCTGCGCCAGGGCGCGCGGGCGCCGCCAGCGCCCGGAACGAAACCTCTGCCGCTTGGCGGCCCGGGCGCCCGTGGCCGGAAGCCGCGGGAGCGGCTGCCGGCCGTGCCCCGTCTCTGGCGGCGCTGCCAAGGCGGTATGCATTGCGCGTCTCTGAACAGCACCCCTCGCTGGGTGCTGTGCTCTGCCCTCGTGCCTCGCAACCGCGCGGTCGCCCCCGCCGCGGCGCCTGGCGTGATCAAACGCCGACCGGCTGCCGCGGCGGCGGGCGTGCGAGCGGCTTGCGCTATGATTGAGGCAGCTTGCGTTCGCTCGGGGGTGGCACACTTGCCCAAAGGTTGTGCGAACGCAGGGAGGCGCGCGCTAGGGGGTGGTGGAGATAGGAGGTGTGGAGCGGCCCTGCAGGAGCCGAGTGGTCGGTACGCACGGCAAGGCGACCGGCGGAGAAGGGAACGGGGCGCAGTGTCGCCGCCACCCCCCTCTCAACGCGCCGCCCCAAACAGCAGCTCAAGTTGGTGGCCGTTGACCAGCGATGACCAGAGAGTGCAGCTGAGCGCTCTGAGCGTCTGAAGCAGAGGCCTCAAGGAGCAGAAGGGCGTGTCGCCCCCTGCTGCCGCTTGAGGCGGCTACTGTGGGTCCTGAGCAGTGGCAGCCCACTTGGCGGCCGCGACGCGTCGGTCCGCGCGCAGTAACGCTGGGTGCGCCGGGTCGCTGTGGCGCACGCTGAGCGCGTCGGAGCGCTCGAGAGCAGTGTGCAGCGCAGACACCACGCGCGCCTTCATGTCGGCCAGCGCCGCGGCCGACTTTAGCTGCCGCTCCTTCTGCTGCTGCTGCTGCTGCTGCAGCTGCTGCTGCCGCTCCTGGTCCGCCACAGCCCACGCGACGAGGTCTGCGTCAGGCCCCTCCGCCCCCGCCCACTCGCCGCTGCTGCCGCTGCAGATCGCGTCATGCAGGTACTCGCAGCACAGCGCACAGTCGTCACTCAGCAGCGCTGCCACCAGCGGGCCCACGCCCTCCGCGTCAGACTCGGCGGCTGCGGCCGCGGCGGCGGCAGCGCAACCCTGCTCATAGGAAGCGTCGTAGCCGGTGGCAGGCGCAGCCGCCGGAAGAGGCGGCGGCGCGGCGCCGCTGTGAGCGCGGCGCGCGCCCACGCCCAGGACGGGCGCGTCGAGCGCGGCCAGCGCGGCTGCGGCAGCAGCGGCGTCGTCCGCGGCGGCGAGGAGCCCAAGCTCGGCGTCGTCGTCGCAGACCGCGGGGGCGGAGGGCGAGAAGGCCACCTTGAGGCGCGCGACATCCCCCGCGGGCGGCGAGCCGCCACCCCCCTCATGCAGCACACGCGACTGCAGGTGCCGCAGCCCCTCGACCGCCGCGCCGAGCGCCTCGGCGGCGGCGGCCCGGCCGGGCGCGGAGAGGCCGCGGCCGCGGCCGGGGGGCGCGAGATCGCGGGCGCTGAGGGCGGCCTGCAGCGCGGCCTCGAGCTCGTGCTGCAACACTGGCAGCGGCGGGGGCACGGCGCTGGGGCGGCCGCCGTAGGAGGACGGCTGCTGCTGCTGCTGCTGCTGCTGCTGCTGCTGCTGCTGCTCGAGCGGGACGCCCATGCTGCTCGCCAGCGTGCGGCCGTCGCGTGCGCGCTGGAACGCGACCACGTTGTTGCTGGCCGCGCCGACCGCGTTGACGCCGACGCCGTCGCCGCCGCCGCACAGCTCCCACACGCCCAGCCGCGGCGGCTGCCGCGCGCCGGCCTCGTGGCTGCGCCGCAGCTGCAGGCGCTGGCACCACGAGTCCACGGTCTCAACAGCGCAGCGGGTGGGCGCGGCGGGCAGGGTGAGGGCGAGGTTGGGGCCCTCCTGCCAGCGCAGGGGGCGGCCGCAGGGGTCCAGCACCACGTACTTGTACTCCAGGGTGGAGCTGGTGGTCGCGCGATGGTGGGTGGGGGGTTGTTGGGTAACGGGTTGTGGCGCGAGTGTGTGTCTGTTTGTGAGGGGGGGTGGTGGCAAGCAGGATCATGGCTGTAAGGCACTGGCGAAAGGGGCGACGGTGATAGGCATGCACCAGAGGGTAGACGACATGACATGGCAGGGTTGGGAGGAATGCTGTGCTGGAGCCACAGGCGCGCAGGCGCCCTGGCTGCAAAGGGTGGCCCGGCGCACAGCGTGCGCAAGCAGCGGCCGGCTCACCCTGCAGGCAGCTCGACGGTGGCGGACCAGACGTCCCCTTGGCTCCACTGCATACGCAGCGCGCCTCCGGGCAGCCAGGCACCCAGGGCGACGTCGTCGCCGCAGACGTGGACAGCGGCTGCGGCGGCAGCGCAATACTGCACGCAGAAGGTGACCTCCACCGTAGTTGGGCTGCCTGGTGACGTCGTCGCTGGCGGCGCCGGCCGCGGCGGCGGTTGCTCTGAGACAAGCACCCTTGTGAGGGCTGGGGTCGCGGAAGGGGGGGGGCGCGCCGGAGCAAGCGGGGGTGTCACCAGAGCGTTGCACAACCGCGAGGGCCAGCAACCAGGGGCGTCAGCGCCACCTCAGCAACAGCACGACCGAGACGGCTTGCCGAGCCGAGGCCGCCTCACTGCAGCTATACCTGCTGTAGCCATGCTACCCGCGCAAGCTCCTGTCATGGAGCGTTGCATGCACACAGCCAGCCAGGCAGGCGCTCACCAGGCGCGACATCAGACGACGCCAGCGAGGCGGAGAGCGCCGGCATCGACATCGCGAGGGTCGCGGCAGTGCTGCCGCGCTTAGAAGACGCTAGAGAGGTAGTTGCGGCTGCTGAGTGCCAAAGCGGGCACGCGTAGGTGCGGCGTTTGAGGCTCGGTCTCTGGCTTGTTCTGCCCGCTGCCAGCCCTGCACGGCCTGGCGTGAGTGCGGGCGCCATCCTGTCTGATTAAGTTACCACCCTAATGTGATAAAGTAAGTACACAGGGTATGCACGGGTTGAGGCCCGGACGGGCCAGGAAAGGACTCTGCTCAGAAAAAGGCGTATGTGCGCACGCTGAGAGGCCGTGTATTCTATCAAAGAAGCAATATGTCGAGGAGGAAAGCCTGGCTGCAAACCGTCCCTCCCAGCCAAAAAGGAAATTGAAAAGTTTTTGGCCATTGCTCTGTCCATGCCTGCTTGGGACTTGTGGGGGCTGATTGTGGCCACGATTTCTGTGGCCACAGCGCTCAAAGGTCTCTGAAGACAGAATTGTAGGCGTCTTTCAAAGTTTATGATAGATGACCGCGTCTCACACACAACCCGCCCTTGCCGCATCAGTGTCATGGTGTTGGCCGACCTCGCTGTGCCGCCGAGCATGTCCCGGCCCATCGAGAGTGTATGATCGACCTCCTACTAGAAAGTTGGTGATGAAATGGCGAAGGTATGGCAATAGCTTGTTGGTGTGATGATAGGTGATCATGGTGCTTGCCGTCGCTGATGAGACCAGTAATGACCGTATTTAACCATGGCAGCGGGGCACATGTGCAACAAGATGAGCAGAAGCGGCCGCCAGCATCATCATGATGACCGCGAGCGTTACGCTCAACTGGGTGCCATTGGGTTGCAGGTTGCAAAGCCAATCACCACATGACAATTGCAGTGACCAACAATGACTGACCGTCTGATGTCTGCCATGACATTTTACCGCTTGACGACCATCCGAGACCCGCTCTTCCCCATAAGGCCCTCTCATCCGACGCAATCGCCTATGCATTAGAGCTTGCCAGATCATCATCGAACGAAGTGCGCAGGATCCCCACCAGCAGCATCTAGTTGTAGGCAGCGAGACTACAACCTTCAGTGTGCGTCGCACATGCTGTAGAGTCGCGTGTCTGGGGCTTTGGCAGCGGGCAAGAAGTCGCCCGAAGCGCCGCCAACAGTGGCTCCTGCACTGCAAATCGTGCCAGGGCGCGGCACACACACGTCGTGACGGAACGCAAGGGTTGCATGCGGCAGCGATAGCAGAAGCGTGATGATCATTCCCAAGGCGGAGCTGACAGCCAGCGGGCGGCCGCGGCTGGCGCAGGGCGAGATAGAGCGTGCGTTGCTGGACAAGGTGCGCAGCAGTGCACGTTGGCGCCGGGGTTGCAGCAGGTGGCAGGAGGTGGCAGAGGCGGGCACTCTCTGCACACCTGACAGCAACGGACTCTCGTGAATGGCGAGCAGCGGGGATGCGGCGGAACGCTCTGCGCAAGAGGCCTGCGGCCGCTGCGCCAACTGCCTGCTCTGGCCTGCGACTTGCCGACCTGTGCTGCTGCGATGGCCGCCCTGGCAGGTGGATGTGGAATTTGAAGGCAGCGGCCGTGCAGACGGCGCGGAGCCGGCGCCGCGCTACCAGGTGCGGCTGAGGTCGTGCTGCACCGGCGCTGCGGGCGACCGATGTCACCCCCTGACAAGGCATAGCCCGATGCAGCCCTGCCCGCAACCCCTGGGGGTGGTACCCGCTCCCTCCCCCCTTGTCAAGCACCTCCCAATATCTTGTGTCACTAAGGCCCCCTATCCCTGACGGGTTGCCCCCTCAACCGCCCCAAACGGCCCAGGACGGCTACGCCATCGTGACAAGCCACCGGCTGATCTGGATCGACGCAGCGGCGGCGCCGCGCCCCGGCCGCTCCTGCGCGCTGCCCGTGGCGGCGCTGCACAGCGCAGCCAAGCGCACCCACTACGGCCTCAACATCATGAACCCAAAGGCACGCGGGGGCTGGTGGGGCCTCGAGACAGTGGGACATGGTGGTGGGGAGGGGGTGTGCTGGATAGTGTGGAGGACAGGTGTCGGCGAGCTTAGCAGGCCGCTGCACAGGGCAGCCTTCAATGTTGGCAAATTAGGCGCATGCGGCATGCGGACCCTTAAAACGGTGTTTGGACGCCGCTTTAGGCTGTTCTCACGGCGCCATGGGCCGACGCGCCGCGCGTGCATGAGCGTCTCTCCACCTTTGCAGGTGCTGCCAGCTGCCTGGTGGCCGGCCCCTTGTCTGCCCCTTGCCCGTCTGTCCTCATTCGCTTTGCCCATCTCACCCCCCCCCCCCCTGGGCAGGTGCGTGTTGAGCTGCAGGTCTACGTCAATGCAGAGCGAAGGCCCTGCGCCGGTGAGGGGAGGGGGCCCCTCGAAGGGGGGGAGGAG